GTGCCACAATCGATCAAAACCATCACATCTTTGTTACCCACCTTTCCTCGCACTTTCATTTGTTCCTGGTGCGGAAAAACCAATGGCTGATTTCAAATTAAACTCAACTATATCACCCACCATTTATACTTCGGCTTCTGCATTTTTCTACTCATTTTCGAATGATTCTTCCTATCTGAGTTCAACCTCCCCAAACTCACTATTAATTGAACTCGTAGCTCTCATACCTTACGTTTTTACAATGGTGATTCATCGTATATTTTCGTCGCACCTTAAGTACAATCCCTTTTCTCTTTAGCTTGGAACTTAGTGTCTGATAACCTTCGTAACAGCTCTTTGCTATTAGGGATCCCTTTTCTAAGGATTGTAATAGACCGAGTTGGTTTAAAGGTGTGGTTCACTAGTTTGGTTATACTCGACCTTGTATTCATACAAATGTTATTGTGGCCTGTTTTGCCAATTTCTCCACTTGGGGCCGGGCCTATGGATCCCTTTGCCATTTTAATTGCCAAATCACGATCCTCTATTAAATGGGTCTATTTCATAATATCCTCGAGCCCAACTGGCTGTCGACTCACAACCACTGCCATAATTGTTGGGTTCAATCGCAAGCAGGTCCTTCAGTAACGATGGTGAATAGGTTTTGAACCTTGCTCAATATTCTGCTATCACTCATTCTTGCTCAATAGCTAGTAATCAAGCACATAGGCTACCTTCCCGTGATGGATGGAATATGGCAAACAATTTGGTCTTCAAATCTTCCCACGAGGAGATTTTCTTTAGCCTATTGTATTGAAAATTGTTAGAATAAAAAAACAGCAAGTTCTCACAGAGCTGGTTCTCTCCTTCTAGACAACATTGTCCACAAAAAATCCCCCCTTTTCACTATAAACCTAAACTACCCCCTGCATAAACCTCCCACACTCCACCATTTCCATACGTGCTCGATCCCAAAAGGTCCCCACCCTAGCTTTTTTTTTTTTTTTTCCATCCCTCTATCCCCTCTTTACCCTTTCTAGAATAAATTTTTAATTTGAGAGTTAATCTTGATATAAGTATAACTATTGGAATGGATTTATTTTTTCTTTTTATTTTCTAAAATAAGAAACTTTATTTCGTTAAATAAAAAATTGTGTAGTCTTGAAGCAGAAGGTGGGTCTTTTTATCAGATCCAAAAATTGTAACAGCTGGGGAACCCAACCCTTCATATTTTTAGTCTAGGTTTTGAAATTTTAGGAATTATTACAATAACAATGCTTGGTAACTGCTTAACTAAGTTAAGTGACAATACTAAACTTAAACTAATTGATTAATGTAGTTGCTAGTTAAGATAATTACAAAGATATCCCTTACATCATTCTTCTTTCCTTGAAAATTTGATTTGCTTTTAATTTTAACTTGTAGTGTGACCTTTCATTATGCTCAACCTAACTTCCAGTCATTTTTTGAGTTTTCAGATACATGAGATTCTGAGGTGGACAAGTGGACTTGCGGAGCATGAGATGGGGCTCTTTAGTGCCGAATGGAATAAACCATTTAGGTACAATTGTACTATATCTCCATCAAGGTCCATGTTAGCATCCCAAGCGGACCTGCATATAGACTTCAACATTATTCCAGCTACACATTCTGGAAAACCTTCTTCCTTATCCAACATATTTAGAAAATTGCTTGTGCTTCAGGATATTGTTACGATGGTATCTTCGTGTCTTCATGATGAATACTATAAGAGTAATCTCTTTTACAGCACTTTGGGTTCTATCTGTGCCATCCCTGATTGTATATTAAGAAAATTGCGGGAATTTCTTATGTTTATTTCACTTGATTGCACAAAACTTGAACTTCTAGGAGAGGGGAATAGTAAGTCCTTGCCTAGTAAATCAACAGAGAATCTAGGTGCTTCCCGTCGAAGGAAAAAGGGAAAGAGCCGGAAATCACAGAATCCTGTGCCGAAGGCATGTATAGGTGATTTATCATGTAATAAATTTCATAAGGTAATTTTGTTTTGAAGCGTAAGAAATATTATATTATGGACTTATCTGCTTGATTTGAATTTAACCAATTGATGTAGCCTCAGGATTTGGACAAGGAGTGTGCTCATAAAGGGAGAGAAGATATGATGGAATCCACAATGCCTATTTTGTCCAAGGGAAATGATACTTGCAGAGAAATGTCAGCAGATGTATCAAAAACGGTTGATTTGGCTTTTGTTTATTTATTTGTTGTTTAATGAGTTTTTATTTGAATTATACATCTAAGTACTGGCTTGAATGCATTGTAACCAGTTGCCTGTCAACAGGTACATGACCATATAATGAGTGTTGGAAAAAATCAAGGTACTACAAGGAAGAAGAAAAAACACAAAAGTAAAAACTCTGGTGGGAACAACAGATTAGTTGAAATAATACCTTCTGAAGGGCCAACCGCTAAATTCTCCTCTCCATCTTTTAGTTCTCAGGATCAGGTAGCAGAGTTGGATAGCATGTTCAGAAAACCTTTCATTTCAAATATCAAGAATGATAGTTCAAATAATTATGACAGTTTAACTTCAAACTCAAGTCCTATAGTTCCCTCTAGTGAGCCTAATAGAGAGTATAACAGTAACCAAAATGTTGAAGTACATGAAATTTCTGGGCCAACGGAATCTGTCTGTCACGTTGGTCCTGGAGAATCTCAGTTCCCAAAAGGAATAATTGAAAATCAATGCGTATCATCTACATTAGTTCCTTCTCATTTTCCTTCATTGGAGTTAAAGAATATTGTCAAAAGTGATGTCAATGTGAATGGCTCTGTGCGATCTTGTGAATTACGAGAAAAATCATCTTTGTTAGATAAACTTCCGAGAACTTTTGATATACAGGAGAAATCATGCCTATCTCGAGATCAATTTAGTGGTGACATTTGTAATACTAGGACCTTGAATTCTTCGTTCAATTCACATCTCCCGCCTGCTACTGATAGATTACATTTAGATGCTGGTCATAATTGGCACAATCATTTCCGTCGGTCTTTCACACCTGCAATGCATCAACCAAGAAGTTCTTCTGTTAAAGGTGGTTGCAATCCAATTCTGACTCGACCACTGTTAATGAGTCTAGATTGGCCCCCTGTCTTACGAAGTGCTTCTGGCTTGGCTTCAACAATGACGTCAAATCATGATTTTGGGTTTCTTCCTAGGAGACAATCTACTTTTCGGCAGGGGTTCCCTACTAACAGCAATCAGATTAGTACGGAAGATGAAAAGTACTCTGGTAATCTCACTGATTTTCCTGATTTGTCAAATAATCAGGACCTAGCAGATGAGTGTGATGGAAACTGGATATCGGAGGAAGAATTGGAAATGCATGCAGTTTCTGGGTTAGACTACAATCAGTATTTCGGTGGTGGTGTAATGTACTGGAATCCTTCTGATCACCATGGGACAGGGTTTTCTCGACCTCCTTCTCTTAGTTCTGATGATAGCTCATGGGCTTGGTGTGAAGCTGACATGAACCGAACTGTTGATGATATGGTTGCTTTCTCTTCTTCTTACAGTAATGGATTGGCATCCCCAACTGCTACGTCATTCTGTTCTCCTTTTGATCCACTGGGATCTGGAAAACAGGCGCTTGGTTATGTGGTGCAAGGACCTGATCTACCCACCAACATGCTTCATTCCTCACTGACTATGAATGATTCGGTGACAGAGGAGGATGCTCCTAGATCTTTGGCAAATTTGCCTAGTGATGTTGAAGGGAAGACAGGAGACTCACATCCATTTCCAATGTTGCCGCCTATTGTTATTCCAAATATGTCAAGGGAAAGATCAAGATCTGAGTTCTGCCATGGTTTTGACCATAAAAGCCCATGCATCCCTCCCACTAGGAGAGAGCAATCTCGAGTAAAGCGGCCACCATCTCCTGTAGTTCTTTGTGTTCCACGGGCACCAATACCACCTCCACCTTCTCCTGTAAGCGACTCCAGGAAGCACAGGGGATTTCCTACTGTTAGATCTGGTAGCTCAAGTCCAAGGCATTGGGGTGTAAAGGGTTGGTATCCTGATGGAACTAATTTGGAAGAAGCATGCTTACATATTGATGGTGCTGAAGTTGTCTGGCCTAATTGGAGAAATAAAAGTAATTCTAATTGCTCGACAGTTCAACCTTTATCATTAATAGCAATGCCCCAGATAGCTCTCGATCAGGAGCATGTGAGTATGCAACCACAATCCAAATATTTGAGCTATGTACTGGGTCTGAAATTTCCTTAACGGTTAATTTCTTTTGCAGCCAGATGTTGCGTTTCCTCTCTTTCCCCCAACAACAAGCTGTCCTGTAAAAAAGGAATCTCTTTCTTTGATGCATAGCTGCCTAAATGATGAGATCAACTCTTTCTGCAAGCACGTAAGCGCTCTCATTGTTGCTAGTGTTTTGTATTTCCTAATTGGAATTTATGCAAATGAATGTTGTCACTGATCAACACTATTCATGGGATATGTGTCAAATGGGTATACAAGGTTGCTGCAGAAAACATGACTAAGAAGCCTTACATCACATGGGCTGTTAAACGGGTCACGCGGTCCCTTCAAGTCTTATGGCCCAGGTCCAGGACAAACATTTTTGGTTCAAATGCAACAGGTTTATCCCTTCCCACGAGTGATGTGGACCTTGTGGTTTGTCTGCCTCCAGTGAGAAATCTGGTAAGTGCATCACTTCTGTTGCATCGATCACACCTCTTTTCTGCTTTTTTGCTTATATCAAGCCTTGCCGTTGTTATCTTTTAGGAACCTATTAAGGAAGCTGGGATCCTAGAGGGGCGTAATGGTATTAAAGAAACCTGCCTTCAGGTATGCTTATTCATATCTCAAGGAATTGAATATGAGATTGCATCTCGTAACTGTTTATTCTTATCTCAAGGAAAGGATGAATTTGTATGGTTCAAAAAAAAAAAAAAAAAATCAGTTTTTTATTATAGTATAAAGTAAATCCAATCTTAGTTATTCGTAAAAATTAGTAGCATCAGCATGATGGACATCGATTCCTCTTGTTGCGTTGGGGTTTCTAATACCCTATAGCCGTCCAATTTTTCCTTTGTTTATTTAGATAAGTTCAAGAGGTTTTTTGTTCTCTTCATGACGTGAGGTTTGATTGACCCCTAGTTTTGTGGCGGTTTCTTGTAATTTTGATTCTTCTTTATCGTATCTGTTTCTTATCAGATGAACAGAAGGAAGTCAGTTGTCTTATTATCTAAAACATGTTAAAATACCATGATGAATAGATTCGACTAATGAAGTAAAGGATGATAAAGTGTTATGTTAATTTGTGCTCTCAAAATAAGTTCTGAAGGAATCTCTGCATTTCTTGAAATATATGCCAATGATGCCTAAAAATCAGAAAAGAACAATAAGAATGAAAGAAAAGAAACGGAGCTTCTTTCTTTTCATCTCTTATTTAGAGAATTCTTGACAGGGCAATAGTAAAGTGTATTCTTTCTTTTTGAACAAGAGAAATTTTGCGTTATAAATGAAAAGTTAGAAAAATGTTCAAGTAAACAAGTGAAAAGAAAACCAAACAAAAAGAAAAAAAAAGGGAAAAGAAAAGAAAAAAAGTACTATCCAAATAATACGTGAGCCAAAAAATAAAGAGTTAAAGAACAAAATATCTATGAAGAAACCAACCACCAACGAACCAAAACTACCAAGACTACTCCCACCAAGCTGCAAATCTACTGACCAGAAGAAAAAACAACCAGAAACCAAATTTGGAAAGTGAATTAATTCCTAGTGCACAACCTCAGAAAGAAAAAGAAAAGAACCCTATCAGGCTAGATTAGCTTAAAAAACTGAGATAATGAGCAACTCCTCGAATTCCATAAGACATAAGACATAAGATTTGGATAGAGAAAAAACGGAGGAACCCTTTCACGAACTTCTAACCAATTAAAGAAAGACTCCAGAGAGACAAGGCAAGTTAGATATGATTATAAATAGTATATATAGAAGTATTAAGTGCAATTCTTACAAATATAATTGGTTTAAAAGTTAAAGCAAAATCCTATTGTCTAATTCAAGGAAATATTCTGCGTTGAGACATGAGTGGTCAAGAAAATGTGATATTAAAGGAAGTTAAAATTAATCTCCATTTCCCATCCGCATATTTTTATTTATTTGTTAAGTACCAGTTATTCGCTTGACGTGATCTGCAATGCATTTGATATGCATTTAATCAAATGTGTGCAAATGGTGATAAAATGTGGCATGCATTGAAACAAAAAGAGATGCATTGAAACAAAAAGGCTCACAGAATATCACTCGACTCTACTGCCCAAGTATAAATAGATTGCGTTGGCAAATAATACCTGGGTTCTCTTGGGTCGATTCCACAGGGACTTTGACACTTTTGATTCATAAAGAGAAGATTGACAAGCAAAAATATATACTACAAAATAGCGGCCGATTTATAAAAAGTAGATTGGTTTGGTGATGGAACGGAAATGAAAATAAATTAAGTAATAAATGGATATTAACTCTGAATAACGGCACAATGCTTGGCTCTTTAGCTACCTATGCTGAACCTTTCCTATTTTTCTACCTCTATTTCTATTCTGCCACTTGGTAATCCTAAGCAAGGAGTCCTACAAGTGCCTCCCCCTTCCAGTATTGCACTATGCTAAATAGGGTAGTTAGATTCCTTTGTGCTACCCTTGTTCATTAAACACTGCACCTTAAATGTGCTACTACTTTGTATCAGTTGACCAAACTGATAGAAGTAATTTCAACAGACACTTTCAAGTAGAAGAACACCAAGAATTTTTGGAGAAATTTTCAGCAAATACAAAATAAGAGTAGCTCAAAATAGGGGCCTTAAATCAAACCTTACAAAAACAGAGAAACTTTATATTAGTGGTAATCTTCCTCTCCAACACTACGAGGGTGGTTCTCACTCCTCCCTTACGTCCCCTCAGGCGAAGACTTGCTGCTCCGACTCCACAACAAGGTTACCAAGAAAACCCCTATTCTCTCAGACAATCCTTATGAGAATTCTCTCAAAAACTCCTATTAAAAAAATAAGTTTCCCTCCTGCAAAGAAATGACTCCCTACATATAGGCAAAGCTTAGCATGGATCTCACGTGCATTTTCATCTCCACACTCAGTCAATATCACGTGGAAGAGGACAAAAAGTACCAGACGTAGGTTAACAACTCTGCAACAGTAACACACACTATGATACGATCCTTAGGAGCCTTTGCCCCTTGACAGAGTAGACGTGATCTCCTCTTTGTGTTTAGCGCAGTATGCCTTGCGACGAAGGAACTGTCCTCATATCGACGCATTTGTATGCTTTCCTAGCACAACATTCGCTGGCGTGCCTTTGATCTCGCACGACTTCCTCCCTTTTCCTTCTTTCTTTAATGCGTTTGACATCCCTTTTTTTGACGCATTACCATTGCGTTGAGGGTTTCAGGCCAGTTCTTTGGATGATAACAATTTGGAAGAATCCTATGCAAATGCTTTTATTTCCTTATTTCAGTCGCATTCAAAATCAAAGAAGTTAAAGGAGTTACTTCCAAATCACATCTCAGAATCTCAATGTCTTTCTTCAACTTCTATTTCTTGCAAGTTTTCATCTTTAATCGAGCTTTGTGGTTTACAAATGCATGAAATTGCTTCGTTAAATGCCTTAGGAAAATGCTAAGAAGATTCACAAGGAATGCCTTAGCGAACCGTTGCATCTTTTGATATTTCAACGTCCTTCATAATTGGGGTTTATTGGTTGTTAGAATATTTGGTGAAGATGTTCAACTTGAGTTTTAATTAAGGCTTTTTTCGCTTCCAGTCTTTTTTCAAGAAGTTATTTTAGGTGCCTTGATTATTGGGAATTTCTGATTGTTTCTAAGGCAACATTTATTAAGGTTTTCTCGTTGTTTTCAAGGCAACATTATTATTGCTTTTGGTTCATGATAGTATTAATTTCGGTCCTTGGAACTAGCAGAATTTTCTATCGAATTTTTCGTTGACTCTTCATTATCTTCATCTCCGTTGGAGTTAAGGAATAGTTTCTATTGTTGCCTTGCTTAAATAGTTATTGGTGGGAGCTCTATTAATGGAGATTATTTGGAAAATTACTCATTTATTAGGCCCCTTGCATGAAGAGTTGCTAGTGGTTAAGAAACATTTAATGCATCGATGGCTGGGTTCTTTGGAGTTGATTCATTTAATTCTGTTATGTTGGATTGTGGTGGTTAAAGTCCTTTATTGGTGTTTCTTTGCATGGCTCTTCATCTTATTTATGATTTCTCAAATTCCTATGTTGTATTTGAGGAGCAAGTTGTCTTTTTTATGATTTTGATCGATATGGTTAGAAGATTCTACATTGACAATTTGTTTGGGAAGAAATCAAAGGATTTTCAACTACGAGAATCCTCTTTGGTCAGATCTGTTCGTTTCGGCCCGTTTGAAGGCCTCTTCTTTGTGTGCTTTCATCAATCTCTTTGCTGGACATTCTATCCAAGATTCATGTCTCATTTGACAGCTTTTATTTGTCCTTTGTAATCTTTTTATTTTCCTATTATTCAGTCCCTTGTAGAGTTATTAACTTTGGGGCATTGGTCTCTTTTCACTTAATCAATGAAATTTTTTGTTTTTTTGTTAGGGAAAAAAAAAAAAAACTGAATTTCCTTCTTATTACCTCTATTCCTAGAAAGTATTTTCACATTCTCAAATCTTTTTGTATGAAATTGACTTCAAGGAAAGGTTTTGAGTGATTGAATGCTTGAGGTGTCATCACTAGTTAACTCGAAAAGTTTGTATAGCTTTAGCGACAAGATGAGCTTTCAACCCCGGCTACAAATCCATCAAAATAGACATTGGCTTTAAATACTGTGTCGGAAGAGAGAAATTAAATCCCAAATACAGTTGTCATCTAAGGCAGACATCTCCTCTACCATTGAAATACATCTACCCGGATGAGACAAAGCTTCATGAGTAGTCTTAGGAACAAATACAGGATGTAGGGGTGCTATGAATGAACAGGTAAAAGAAGACCAATGGTTATATGAATCAAAATAGGAGATAGGATAAGTGCACTGACGTTTTCCGTTATAAAGAGCAATAGGATAATCATTGCTTGTTTCAGGATCCAAGGACGAAGAAGCCTCTAGTAGAGAGCATGTAACTGAAGGGGGAGGCCGAAGCGAACAAACCTGAGTGATAGGTGGGTGAGAAAAACATGTACAACTGGAAGTGAATCATTAGAGGAACGCAAAAGGAGAGTATTGTAGATAAGAAAATGATCTTCCTCTTTATCCTCCCCATGACTCTTCAACACTGAAATAAACAGATGACCCAAGTGGCAACGTTCTCAAAAGAAAAAGACACTTAAGAGCATGTAATGACAATGAATATTTTTGGTTCAAAGACGTAGAAGACCTCAAGATTCACTCCTTTTTCCAATATTCTGTCATAAGATCCTAAATAAACTAAATAGCCAGGAAAGAACAAAACACAACAATGTAGATTGAGTTGAGTTTACCAACAAAAATCAAGTTAAATGAGAATGGTTGGTAAAATTTAAAACAGAGGACAAATGAAAGTGAGCTGGTAAGATTGACACTGACACTGTCTGATCGGAGAGATAGTTTCATTTGCTATAGTAACAATAGGTGAAGATTTAAATGGAAATTTATTTGAGAATAAATTAAATTACTTGTCATGTGATCGGAAGTGCCTATTTCAAAGAGGAGGCAAGGAAAAGTTTAGATATGTTACTTGTATCGGTGATGACAATAGTAGGAGAAGATGATGATGTCATAATTTTGTAGACTCAGTCAAAATTGTACCATATTTGTTAGGGTTGTTAAATATACGGGCAACATGTGCAGATTGAAACTTTTTGCCCTTATTCAACAATTGTAACATTCACGTTTTATATGTCCTAACTTTTAACAATTGTGATAAACAATATCCCTTGAATTTAATTTTTGAGTGTTAGGATTTCCTCTAGACTCATTTTTTTGTCCAACCAAAACACTATCAGACTTAGATGACAAGATTGCTCGAGACTTCTTTGTACTAAGTATTCGAATATAAGAGTGTGCCAATGATGAGATGTCTGAGCTACAATAGACTTGACTTTTGACTGTATTATATTTAGAGGCAAGACCAAATAAAAAAACCATAATAAACAATGGCTCACGTTAGGTAGTCTGAACTTTTACAATATTACTATCTAGCTGCCGAACATTAATTTGGGATATGATCTCTTGCACTCCATAAAATAACTCATTAGAGATTCTCACCTTGATCAGGTCAAAACAGAGTGTTAACATGCACCAAACAATCTAATAATGTTTCCCTTTTTGGTGTGAAGAGATTTCAAGCATTTTTATAGCTCTTTGTCAGACTCAATGATTAATTAGTCTAACTATCTTGCTCTCAATTAAATTATTTCTCTGTAGAATAATCCTAAGACACAAAACTCCAATAATAAACAAACGATTCCTAAACTCCAAACCTTAAGTTTACAAAAACCTACTTAACCTAAAGCCCTGATACCATGTAAACACTAAAGGTTGAGAGAATCAAAATACTCTATTCTATTTACCAAAGATGCTAATATACATTTGTACAAGGATAAAGATAACAAAACTAATTTATTTACAACAATGTAATTATACTAATGTAATAACCATAACACAATGTATAAAGATGCATTTGGATTGGTTGCAGAAGCTGCTCAACTGTAGCTTTACGACAAAGAAGTGCATTCTCAGTGTCACATGGGTCACATTTATATTATTCTCTTTCTCTCTTTAATACAATTCGCTTGGCTGTTGTGTGTAGAAGTTTAATATACATTTTGGTTTCTTCCAGCATGCAGCCAGATATCTTTCCAATCAGGAATGGGTAAAAAGTGATTCCTTAAAGACGGTGGAAAATACTGCTGTAACAGCCTTCTATATCTAAACTATTTAATTAATTCTGTGTTGTTAATAATAATTATTCAGTACATTTACTCATCAGTTTATTTTTTGCGTCAGATACCTATTATCATGCTTGTTGTTGAAGTTCCCCACGATCTCATTGCTTCATCCACTTCAAATATGCAATCATCCAAGGAGGAGTCCTCTGCCGTATCTGGGGAACAAGATGTCAACCTTCTTAATGATATGGCTAGTTTAGAAGATTCTGCGCTGCAAAAATGTTTGGTTGTGAAATATGATTCCTCATCTAGCACCAAGTCAGTTCGTATTGACATCAGTTTCAAGACTCCATCACATACGGGACTCCAAACTTCTGGGCTGGTAATCCATATTTGGAACATAGCATACTTCACTTTCTGAATTTTATCATAATTGTTTGTGATTTTCTGAACATTCCAATTATGATTTTCTGAAGATTTAATTTAAAGTCATTTTTCTTATAAAAAAGGAAGAAGAAGAAGAAACAGAGAACTTGATATTCATACTGCTATTTAATGGAATTGAAAGTTTGTTTGTGGTCTGAATTTCTTAAAGACAGAGGACGCAGCTTAACCTAGTATAATAATTATTAAGCCTTTATAAGTATTATCTCTAGTGGAATCTGCCGGTTATTATCCTTAACTAAAACAATCTTTGACTGGGAGTTAAACTAACAAATTTTTACTAGAATCAATAAACGATCTTTTCCCATCGGTTCTTTCATATGGGATTTTGTTTAATTATATCATTATGAGATGATCTCGTTTGTTAAATGCTTTTTGTTTTTGCTTTTGTTTTTATTTACTTTTATAATTTTTAAATATAGACTTGTGCTTTGAACCTTTATTAGCTTGGATGACGAGTATTTGGTTATGGATGCTTTTGTCTTCCATCCCTCTTCTTTCTATGTGATTTCTAATTTCTTAGTTTTCCCTTGCTTTGCAACAATTTTTCTTCTCTCAATTTAGTTCTAATATAATGAGCAGAAAAAAGGATAATGTTATGTTGTTGGAACATTGAGCATTTTTCTTTTTCAACCAAGAATAAACTTTATGTTTATAATTAAAAAGGTGATAAGTTGTGAATTAATGTTCAAAGAACAAACTGTTGCATACAAGGATCGACTCCTGAATGGAGCTTTCNAAATATCCTGTTGTTCCTCTCCAATCAAATCCCCCACAAAGTTGTAAAAGTACAAGCCCGACACAAATTTCTACCCTTCTAATACTAGTGAGAATTCAAAAGCACCTCCTTGATCATAGAACCTAGAACTCTGCTTAAGAAAGGGCCAAATGAATTCGAGAAGTGACACCATAGAGAATACACAAACTAAAAATCCCACAACAAGTCAAGATTCTCATGCCTCCTACATTAAATGCACCGTTGTGGACACAACACTGAGGAAGAGTGTCTTTATATAGAATAGAAGGTGTTTATGCTCCCTTAACACATCTACTAGATGAAGGACTTCACGTATTTGGAACTTCCAAAGAGAGGAAAACATAAAGGCAACTTGGGAAGAAGGGATGAAGTACAATAATAGAAGNGAACACAAAGGAGTTGAAGCCAACGTGGAGAATTTCACTTGAACTCATATCTGAAATGCTTGTGCACGCAAACAAAGCAGTTCCCCTACTTTGGTTGCCTTTTTCCTTCCTAAATTTCCTTGAGAGGGTTATTTTTCAAGCTCCCTCAACGAATGATTTTCCATAAAACAATGATTGTAGCGAGAAGAAGATGCCCCATGTGTGTAGGTTCTAACTTCATATTTTCCTTCCCTTAAAGGTAATTTACCATACTTGATTTTGAGGTCGTGACGGCAGATTATTCTCAAGGGAAATCTCCTGGTATTTAGAATGGAAGGCCATTCCAATCTTAATTCTGTATACTTGGAAACAGATTATTTTCCATCTTGAGGTGGGGACTTCTTGTAGTACCCAATCCTTCACAGAGGAGATCCTTAATCCACAAATACCAAAGGCAGCTCTTGCCAGAGGATATGTAGTGAGAACTGTGCAGGAGGGATGAAATCTCCTGATATTTAGTATTCATGCCCTCTTTTAGCAAAATCCAAAAGAGAACTTGATTATTTTTGGTTNAGTAAACAAATCAGCCTCCCAATAACCTTCCCAGAAGTAGATTTGCGAGCCTTAAAGAACAAAGGATTTTAGATTCAAAAGAAGATGGAGAAACTTGATGCAATGGTCAACCAAAGGTTTTTACTAGAGCCCATAACCTTGTAGCTTGCTACCCAGCTATCCATTCAAAACGGATACAGGTCATACCTACTCACAACGATCATTTACCACAATGTGTTTGGCTCCCTGAAGGAACGACACAATCATTTTGCCAACAATGCTTCGTTACACAGTCTTAAGTTATCAATGTCTAACCCTCAAAGGCTTTGAAGCAACCTCCCAATTAACCAGGTGAGACCCTCCCGCTGCATTTTTCCCTTCCCACAAGAAATTTCTCATCAAGCGCTCCATGGACTTGCTCATCGAAACATGGATTCTAATGTGGGAGAGAAAGTTAATAGGGATCCCACTCATGGATGAGGGCAAGTCTCTTACCTTTCTTTTCTTGGACGAGAGATGTCTTCAATTTAGGTAAAATTGGGAAGAGGTTCATAAAAGTTGATTTATCGGTGCAGTTCACCAACTTCTCTAGGGGACCAGCTGCTTGGTTCTTGGAGGATCAAAGACATCCCATTTATTTTACCTCTAAGATGTATCCAACTATTATCAAAACTTCATTGCTGTGAGGTCTGGCAGTAGTTCGTAGCCACCTACATTTTAATTTTTCAGGACCACACCTGGAGATTGCTGTTTTTCCAATTATTCTTCCTCTTACTCTTCTGGGGCTAGCTATTTGTTCTTTCTTGATTGCTTCAGAATGTCTTCTTGGTTTTCTTTGCTTTTATTTCAGTACTAGCATGTTTTTCAAATTGATAAAGCTCGAAGATGTTACCTTTGTTTTATTGAAAAAAAAAAGGAATCTAGTGGTTATTCATTTTAAAACACTAGCTTTTGTAATGAGGTTTTTAAATTTCTTGTTGCTCTTTTGCAGGTATTGTTGATTGTACGCTTTCTCCAGCATGAACATCATCTTAGCCGTCCTATCAACCAAGTAAATTCCCGTTATCTTTTTGTAAGGGTTTATTTGAGAAGTTGGACTAGCACTGCAATTTTATAAGGAAGGATCTCCAAGAAATTCAATCTTCTTTGCTGTGACATAAAATTTCTTATCATAAACTAAGAGCAGTGTATATGTTAAAATCTTGAGGCCTGTTTTAATATTTTAATCATTGCTGTTGCCATTCTCTCCCTGGGCATTGGTTGTATATATTGGTGATTATGAATTTAAACTTGTCTGAACTCAATGTTCCTGCAGAACTTTGGGAGCCTTTTAATGGACTTCCTTTACTTCTTTGGGTAAGTTTGACTTTCTTTATTACTATCATTTCGTTTAAAAAATAATATCACTTACATTTCCACTGTAAGGGGGAAAAGAAAACTAAGTTCAGTTTCTAATTCCAGTTTTTTTCGCACTACAACAGTGGACTGCAACTTTAATTTGTATTACTTTTAATCCAGGAATGTCTTTGATCCTCGTCAAATGCGTATTTCAATACAGGGGAGTGGAGTCTATATTAAGAGAGAAAGGGGATATAGGTAAGTTATTAATTCCAAATTGATTATCGCTCAGGTTTATTTTGATGGCATTTCTTAGTACTATCTATGACGTTGCCCACTTTTACCACTTGTAGGTTAGTTATAATTGTTAACAACGTTCCATTTTTATGTAGCATTGATCCTTTACATATTGATGATCCTCTTTTCCCCATGAATAACGTTGGACGAAATTGTTTCCGTATTCATCAATGTATCAAGGTGAGGCATCTGTCCTTATGGCATCATTTACTTTGTCAACTTCAGAATTATGGTGTGGATTGTACTTAACATAAATATGGGACTCCATTTAGAAATATCACTTTGCAATACAATCTTTTTTTTTCATTCAACTAGATATGAAAACGAAACTGTTTAAAGGATACCAACTCCAAGAGGAAGAGAGGAACTGAGGAGTGTGAGGAAGAGAGGAAGTAGAGGAAGTGAGAAATAGTGAAAGCAAAGAGAAGAAAAAGAGAAAAAAGGAATTCAGAAGGGAATATCATCCCAAAGAAAGAAAGAAAGAAACATAAAAGACTTAAGAAAACACATGAGCTTTATGAAAATCCAGCCTTGTATTGAACTGATACCTACTCCGAAAATCCCAAAGGAACATCAAGAATCTTTGACTTTGGACTCAGCATAAAAAAAACATGAAGCTCTAGTTTTTTTTTATCCTTTATTGAAGAACTAAACTTTTATTGAAAATCATATTAAAAAAATCAAGTTTGAAATCCTACCAAAGAAAGAGACTTCAATCAGGTAAAATTAGATGTAACGAATAATTACAAAAGGACTGTGTCACCGATTCCCAAAAAGAAACATAGAATCTAACAAGGGATAAAACTTCACAAGATCCCTTATTCCCTTCACTAAAGGTTATATTGCCACAAAAGCTTTCCTCTCTCGAAACAACAATCATCTCTGAGTAATCTTTGTGCTTTGAAACGTGAAAACCAAATGTGTCAAAGTAAGTAACTCCAAATAGACTGTGCCACAGTTCCAAAGGATTTGATCCAAGTCTTCCTCCACCCTCACGGCAAAGAATGCAACAAAAATTCCCTATCAAAGAGGGCAACTTCCGCTAGCTTCCTTTAGAATGAGCTTCAATCAAAGGGTCATGTTTATTAACAATACAACCTTTCTTGTTGGGAAAAATAATCATGTTGTCCATGTAAAACCAAACATCTCTATTTCAATTTTGTACTTTGAAGTTGAGGCAAATTAGCTGTGCAACTTTATTTTTTAAATGAAAATGTAAAATAATTTTACCTAGAAAATGAGTTGCTGAGTGTAATTTGTAAAGTGACTTGCTCATGATTTTTCTTTTGATACACAACAACTTGACTTATTGTCCTGGACTTTCTCACTTAAAGTTAAAATGCTTGAATGTTAAAATTAATGACATACATTAAGATAGATAACTCTTCTGAACACAAGAAGCTCATTCAACACTGCTATTTGCATGCATCTTTAACACGGTTATGATACAATATTGGTCTTAAATCAGATTCTTGGCTGTACATACAAAATTTTATTTACTTGCTAGTTTATTTTACATTACTATGTTTTCCTATGATTGTCCCATCAAAAATATATTCTATGATCGTGTTCTGTTTTGCTTATTCAAAACTTTTGTTCATTGTAGGCTTTTTCAGAAGCTTATTCTATTTTGGAGAGTGAGCTGATATCCCTTAATGATAATGGTGATTCTAGTTCAGATGCAACTAATAGTGTGCTGCAGAAAATAATCCCTAGCATTGATTTATCATAAGGTTTGCACTGTTATCTTTATATGCATGCAGGTAAATTTAAGTTAGTTTATTTTGTTATTTCTTTCAATTTAAGTTAGTTTATGTTGTTAAAAGGCCTTCGGGAGAAATCTTATAAAGGCCTTCGGGAGAAATCTTATAAAGGCCTTCGGGAGAAATCTTATAAAGGCCTTCGGGAGAAATCTTATCTTATAAAGCCTTGGGAGAAATCTTATCTTATAAAGCCTTGGGAGAAATCTTATCTTATCTTATAAAGCCTTGGGAGAAATCTTATAAAGGCTAAATATAGAAATCTTATAAAGGCTAAATATAAGATAAAAATCAACCCCCTCTATCTTCTGCAAAAGGGTCAACATCAATTGAAAACACTACTTTAGCCCTGCGGTATCCACTTTTGTATAGGCTCTCTCGTAACAAAAATGTCACTCTCAAATTAACTTGAAATGTTGTCAACAAGTTGTGGAATCTGAAGCTTGGTAGGAATTTAAAGGATAACGAAGCAACAGCATGGGCCGAATTAAGCCTTGACTTTGCCCCAGTGCCCCAGTGGTATTGTCAAACAAAACAGACTCACTAACTTGTCTCCCCAATGCTGATAAGGGATGATGGACAAAATCCTAATGCTAACTTGTCTCTACAAAATCCTTGATGATGGACATGGGAGAAAAAGTAGAAGCACTAAATCTCACGCTAGTAAAGACAATATGGAAAGGACATCACCCTAAAAAGGTGAAGTTTTTCTTTGGAAAATAAGGCATAAAGCTGTTAGCACAAGTGCAAACCTTCACCAAAAAAAAAAAAAAAGAAAAAATAATAATAATAATAATCACAAAGCCTTTCATTACTCAAATTGGTGTCCATTATGCAAGAAAGGAAACGAATCACAAGGCCACTTATTTATGCAATGCACATACGCTCATAATTTTTGGTTGGACAACGATTCTCAACAATATATTCGAATCGCATCTCACATTTCCTAGAGAGGTAAATGATCTATTGGACATGTCCTTAACATACCACCCTTTCAAGAATGCAAAAGACCTACTATGGAAAAACCTCATCACAGTTTTCTTTTGGAATCGGTGAAAAGAAAGAAATCAAAGAATATTAAAGAATATTCGCAGAAAAGACACAAACTTATACAAAATTATCTAATATTTTTACTTCCTATGTTGTTTATTAAATCTTGGTGTAAACTATCTAATATTTTTACTTCCTATATTGTAACCTTATTACTTCCTATGTTGTTTATTAAATCTTGGTGTAAACTATCTAATATTTTTACTTCCTATATTGTAACCTCTCTTAGTATAAATTGGGAAGGTCTTTTGTAAATATCATGTCGTAAATTTCACATAATCACAGCTCCCAGTCTTGGAGGAGGATTCTACCTAGTTTCTTGTATCTTAGACACTACGGACGAACAAAAAGTAATTTGTACATGTTGCAAACAACTCAAAAGTATTAGGACTCAGATTCTCCTATTTCTTTCCTTCAAAAGCTCCCAAATAAACTTCCCTACAGCACACCTTCACATAACTCCGGCGTTTCCTCTAAAGGCTCTTGCCATTTAAAGCTTCTCATAGCCAATCTAAGACAAATGCCGGCTTACATGATAAAAAATCGAAGGCCTTAAAAATTTGATTCCACCCTCTCAATGCAAAAGGACACCTGAGGATGATCCATTGTTTTCTTCTCTCCTTAAGCACAGAATACGCACCAAAATAAAATAGTTTCCCGGTGTCCTTTGATATCTATAATGAGTGTNATGCCTAGTTAAATACAGTTGGAACGCAGAAGCTGAAATGTGGTATTTAAAGATAAGAAACCTAATGAATGCTGAAATTGAGGAATTGGCTGATCTTATGCATTCCTTGTCTTTTGTACACCTGACACAATCGTCAGTTTATGGGTGTGGAGGCTTGATAGCTGAGGATTCTTCTCTACTAAGTGCTTACTGAATGACATCGACTCAAAAATGAATTGGACCTTCTATACAAATCTATACAAAGATTGAAAGAGATCAGAAGGTTTTTTTACAGCCGAGGAACAAACTATTGAGCAGTTTTTTTTATTCCACAACTTTTTTGGCCATCACTTAACGTAAATTATCTCCTCTGATCTTTCATTATTNTATACTTGCAACGACTTTTGTGATCCAGACTCCATAGGAACACAGTTATCTTCCTTGGGTGATCAAACTTCTGACCATTGGAGTTATAGGCTTTTGGCTAGTTTTTGTTACCTTTATAAAATCCCATCTAGTAGAGAATGCCCAATCTAATGGTATCATGGATATGAATTGAAGCCAACTGTCAAATTCTCTATCTATATTTAGTAAGGAGATTTCCTTTNATAATGTGCATCACACGGAACCGTATCCTATCCTTCAATTTAATGATGGGTTTGTCCACTTATCAACGAGGTGGAAGTGCAGCCACGGCAATAGGGTATGTGCTAGGTTCCATGGCTTTTTCTAAGAATGAGCGCTCACCTTTCATTTTCATGGTCTTCATTGTCCTTTATTTACTTTTTTTTATTCACAGTATCCTCCAAAATAGTGTTCAGCTGCTCTGGTCGTCATTTGGTCCCCACTGCGAATTCTTTAGTGGGAGTTCATTTCGATCAAACTTGAAAGATGCCTTTAACCTTTACAATTACCAAATGAGAGATACTAGAACCCTCATGCATGCAATTTTTGTCTTACTGAAAAATAAGAAACTTGAAAAGCGATNTATCTATATTTAGTAAGGAGATTTCCTTTACCTTTCTATTGGGGAAATGAAGGCTTTATTTATTAATTGATTAGAATCCAAGATTGCTTGTTGAGCTTAAGTTTCACCTTGATGCTTGTCTTTTAACGGCCGGAGACTTTGTGCACCTTGAGGGTTTGCAATCAGATTTTAGGCAGCACTTGATGAAAAGGCTCATTAGCACAGTAGACTAGATAGATAATGTTGCAAGAGTAGCTTGTATTACTCTCTTTCTTGTTTTTCATCAAAGAAGAACATAGGCCTATTTATAATATATATATATATATATATATATATATATTATAAATAGGCTAACTAATCCCTCTAGAGAATAGGAAACAAAAAGGAAAAGCTAACTAATCCTCTAGAAATAGGAAACAGAAAAGAAAAGCAAACTAATCCTCTAGGGAATAGGAAGCATAAAGAAAAGCTAACTAATCCTCTTTGGAATGGGAAATATTACAGGAAAGGAAACAAAAAATAGACTAGTTCCCTTCCTAAATGGGACTACACCAACATTCTCAAATTAAAGGTTATTCCTTTGACAGATACATATAGTGCTTATAATGCGGCATCTGATGCTCTCTAACCTTTCTCCTCCCTCTCTCCTCTCCCTACCGGTGAAAGATGAAGCCTCCGACGGATAATCATACTAGAGTACAAAACCATTTTCACCTCACTGAAGCTTCCTCTGATCAAAGCTTCTTCCTCACTTTTTCNTACGGCAAGCTCCATCTGAGCACCTGTCGAGCTCTCTGGCTGCACCTGTAATGAGCTCATTTGAGAGGCAGCTCCATTTTCACCATTTTTTCCCCTCTCGGTTCATCTGTACTCTGTATAGCTTAAGCTTAAAAGGCACACCCCTTGAAACCAATTACTGAATTACTGTCTCAGACGTAATGGCCGTCGTGTGATCCCTTGGTTGANTAGCTCAAACAAACTACAGGATCTTGTGCTGGAGGAAATATGTTAAATGATATTCCAAATACTTCAGAAGAACATGGGTTTAATCCAAGTAGTTCTGGGACTTGTGAACGAACACTATACGTTGGGTACTCATTGAGGAGGAAGCAATGTCTTGGTTATTGAAAGTTACATTGTTAATAGGAAAACAAATTATACTAAAAGCCTATAGTGGAACATGTAATGTCAGTAGCTTTTACCTCATGGTGGAACATTTGTGGAAAAAACACTTCCCTCCATGGCTGACCAAGGCGTGGTTTCATTCACAAATTAACAGGCATCAAATCCACCATTTGGCTCTTGGAACAATGAGACCTTTGGCTACACTACTTTTCAGANGAAGTGGACCATATAAGATGTATATTGACAGTTTAGGGGATGTGTTCGATCCTTGTTTGTGAAGTAGCTCTCTTTCTAAAGTTTGCATTCACAAAACTTGTAAAGATAGCATCCACCTTCAAAAGTGCTCCACCTTCAAAAGTGCACTAAGTAAATCTTGACTGTAATAGTTAGTTTGGGATTTCAATATGTACTGATAATTTAACAATGTATTAAAAGAGACAGAGACCCATCTGTCAATGCAACTATTATTCATCCATACTTGTTGGGATATGGAACCTTCTAAAGATCTATAGAAATATATTCGAGGGATATTTCGTAAAAGATCTCCCTTTTGTAAAGGTGTCTGGAGATATTTGGTAAAGATTTGATAGTGATATATTTAGTAGATTATATATATGTTAAATGTTTGAAAGTTAAATTTAGTAAATTGAAATCCTCTATCGGGCCTTCTTTACCTCTTGTTGTACATGCTAAATCTAAAGTCATCCATAAAACTTAGTCAATATTCTTTCTTGAATTTTTTCTACTGTTCTTTATGTTCATCTTGATCAAGTTGGTGCATTGTTGAGTGATCCTAATGTTAATATTATAATTGAAATCCATTTTGATCAAGTTGGTGCATTGTTGAGTGATCCTAATGTTAATATTATAATTGAAATCACCTATTACTTGTTTTAGTACAAGATGTACTGATCTTTCTCAAATTTAATATGCTTTGTCATATGATGTTGAATAGGATTGTGTGCAATATTGATTGTACAACTTGGACAATAGCTACAAAGGTTCTAGAGAAGTATAGATGCGACGTGTAATGTTACTAAGGGGCAATCATTACTTATTGTTCAATAAGAAGCAGTTCTTCACGTGCATGTGCAAGACTTAGAGGTATCCATGCTTATATCACAAAGGGTAAAAAGAGATTGTAAACCATGAGATGGGAATCATG